AATAAAAAGGATTCCGGCTCAGGGTTTCTTAAACTGTGGGTCGCGACTCCCAAGGCGGTCGCGGGACATGTAGTAGGGGGTCGCCAAAAATTTCAGCAGTTTTGATAGTTCTTTAACTCATTATAATAATTTTACAATTACAAAATATTTTTAAGCAATGTATCTGAAAATAGATAAAGATAAGACAATACAGACAAAGAAAAAACGAAAGCGTTTCAAAGAATTCTTTTTATAATATAAACGTTCATTTTCCTTGCTTTGCACGTGACGCTGTCATTTCGTCTGTTACTTATTTAAACTTTTCACATTGTTCTATGTCTTAAAATTTAAAATAAAAGTTAATGACCTAAAACTGCATTAGTATATTACAGTACAAGTGAAAATATTGACAGTTTCACTCACGCGTGTGTCGGATTTGCGCAATAGGTATGGTGTCCCACAAAAGTTTTGTATAAATATTATGGGGTCCTGGGGATTGCGAAAAAAATCTCAGTGATAAAAAGGGGTCGCGATTGAAAAAGTTTAAGAAACCCTGATGTAAGTGAACCACAATTTTAGCACAAATTTTGTTTTAATAGTAAAATATGCCTTAAAAATCAATTCCAACTTCTGAATGCGGATATGTCTTTCCCTCGCACTCAAGCCTTGCAGAGAGGTTGAGATTTTTAAGAAAAGAAAAGCCCCTAATCATATGTTAAAGGCTTATTCTCCAGGATATGCAATGAATTTATAAGAGAGGGTAAATTTTGTATTTCCTCCAAGAACTAAAAGAGATACCCTGGTCGTGCCCGTTCCACGCTAATGGCTTCCTACTGCAAACATTCTAAATGATGTAACCAAACGGGGGGGGGGGGGACGACTGCTGCCGCTTATACAGAGAAATCTTATGTTTATTCTCACGTTGTATTCAGGAAAATTTATTCAGGGAAAATTTCTATTTGACGGCTCTGTTCAATTTATGTTTACATCAACAGGACATCGCGATCAGAAAGTGTTGAACTCTTCCCTCTTCCTTTTCAAAGCTACACTTGTAGATTATTTCGAAGCAAAAGAGATGAAAAATGAGCAATGCCCTCGCCGGGACTCGAACCACGACCTCTCGAATTCGCGTCGAGCGTGCTGACCACTAAACACGAAGGCATGCTAAGAAGGCGGGAGAAATACCTTATACACTTTTCCATAAAATTTATTTTCATATCCTCATACTGTTTCTAGAAATCGCACTATTCTTCTTAGTGGAGCTTTAATTGTTTTATCTTTTTTTACTTAATGTGCTGCAAAAAAAGAGTGGTACCTGTCATCCCTTGGAATAGAACATTATACGTATAATCGGGGCTTAAACTCAGACATAGATGGGCTAAGCTGCTTCTTATTATCAAACTGGAATTGTGAATACAGCCGATGCCCCAAACAAGACAAGTTCCGATGCTTCGGTTGGAATTACGATTTTACTAAGACTGAGAAGCACTCGATTCGGGCTCCGAAGAGCTGTCGCTGAATTTCAACCCTGATTCTAAATGCTTCAAAATTATGTGCCTGTCTTTACCTTCGAAATCATGGTATCATATCTTATTCTCATTTATTTCTTCATCTGTCATTTGTTTTGTTATTTAACTTATTATTTTGTTTTAATCATTCATATTTGTATCTTAACATTTTATATCATTTTAATTGTTTATGATTTTATTTATTCATTTCCATTTAGCTTTGTTAATGCAATTCCATAGGTTCTGATTAGAAATTGAACTTTTTTTGTTGCGTAATATAGTACCTTTCGAAATTAGTAACGAAACGTCGAACATAAATACCATATTTCCCCTTATGTAAGACGCTTTCATGTATAAGAAGCCCCTTGAATTTGAGACTTTAAAATTCAAAAAAAAAAAAAAAAATAAATAAATAAATAAAGAATTATTTGGTTTACGGACTGCTGGATCAGAATTGGAAAAAAAATATATATATATATATAATATTATTGAAATCAACGTTTATTCAGAATACAGTTCGTCATCACTGTCAGAACTCCATCCATTAGCTGGACCTCATCTAAAGTACTCAACAGCGAAGGTGCAGCGTATCCAAATGCATTTTATTAGTTCATCTGTACTATAGCCAGTCTTATCCTAAAAGGGTTCTTTTGCGGTTCCTTATCCTTTGCGGTTAAAAGTTGTAGAGACATTAGGATTTTTTTGGAAGCCAGAGAGATGAAAAATATGGAACCGCCTTCGCCGAGAATCGAACCACGGACCTCTGGAATACGGCCCAGCGTGCTACCGTTACACCACGAAGGCACGCTAGGGAAGTGGGAGAATACCTTATATACTCCTCCTTTTTAAAGGGTGACTAGGGTTTTAGGGGACCTAGTCGCCAAATCCTGGGTGCGGAAAATCATCATTCACAACCCGTTTAGTTCGGGCGCCACTTGTAGAGTCATTAGGATTTTTGGAAGCAGAAAAGATGAAAAATATGCAACCGCCTTCGCTGGGAATCGAACCACGGATCTCTAGAATACCGGCCCAGCGTGCTACCCGTTACACCACGAAGGCACACAAGGGAAGTGGGAGAAATGCCTTATAAAGTGACTAAAGGTTAAAATTTCCTAAAGAGGAACTGTCCACCAATGGCGAAGCGGTAGAGTCGCCGAACACTGGTTCGGTCCTGGCAACATTGGGTTCGAATCCTGGCGAACGACTGTATGAGCTGTGTGAGCGTTTTCATGGTTTTTCCTATATGTGTGGTGTATACGAGTCAATTTGCTTTAGAAAGTCCTCCACGAATGCTTTTCTCCCGTTAGGTAGATAGTCCTCGTGTTCTTTGCCATAATCGAATAAAACATTTAGAAACTAGAAAAGGTATCATTTGAAACCTTCTTACCTCTTTGTTCGCTAATGAACGGGGGGGGGGCAGAAGAAATTCTTATGAATTTCTAATGCAATTTCAAACGTTTCCCTTTTTTAAAGAAACAGTTGAGCGATTCTGATAAGGGATACATATGCCGCGTATGTGTGGTCGACAGTCTCTCACCTTTGGTTTCGTTCGCCGCAACGTTGCGTTGGCGCCGGCGTCACTGTTGTACAAGACGAACCAGGTTTATAGATACGGAAAGTTTAACCTTCCGAGGGTTACGAGTTTAGCCCTGAAGTTTCAAAGTTCCTCAAAATGTCATGAATAAATGGTATTTTCATGATTTTTAATTAAAAATTGAGTCTCTCATTTTGTACCGATTCCTTTTCTACCAATATACGAGGGCTATTTAGAAAGTAAGGAACGTTTCCGTCTGCCGTCGCTAGGCGCGCGCCGATCACGTATATTTTAGTGTCTGCGTGCAGCCATCACAACGGGAAAATTTCTACGCTGCCCGAATTTCGATATTCAAATTTAAAATGTGCTCTGCAATTGAAAATCCCGCCAGTTCTGAGGTGCGTTCTGTGATATGATTTTTGTTGGCAAAAACCTATGGAAATTTATCGTCAAGTGTGTGAAGTGTACGGAAACAACGTAATGAATGAAATTTCAATCCGGAAATGGTGCATTCAATTTAAAAATGGCCGAACTAACGTTCACGATGAAGAGAAGAGTGGACGTCCTAGCATTGTGACTGACGAACTGGTCGCTAAAGTTTATGAAAAGATTCGTGAAAACTGGCGTTTCACAATAACGGAGCTTTCGCTTAATTTTCCACAAGTTTCACAGACTTTGTTGTTTGAAATTGTCACACAAAAGCTAGGCTACCGCAAATTTTGTGCAAGATGGGAGATTGCGTACCATAAAGGTCAGCGAATGAGGGCATCTTTGACATTTTTGGAGGCCTACGACAGACATGGTAATTCATTACTGGATCGAATTGTAACTGGTGACGAGACGTGGGTAAGACACGTGAATTGCGAGACAAAATTACAGTCCATGCAGTGGGGGCACACAAGTTCCCCAAAAGACCAAGAAAATGTTTGCAAACCTTGTCACAAGAAGATTATGGCGACTGTGTTTTGGGATAGGCAAGGTGTGCTTCTGATTGAACGTGGTGTCACAATAAACTCTGAGCAATACCGTCAAACTTTGCGCAACCTTAGGAGGGCAGTTCAGAACCGAGGGAAGTTGAAGTCCAAAATTTTGTTTTTGCAAGACAATGCCCGACCTCACACGCCAAATCGCACTCAAGAACTCCTTAATTCATTCCAATGGGAGGTTTTTCCTCATCCGCCCTATAGTCCCGATCTTGCACCTAGTGATTTTCACTTGTTTCCAAGAATGAAGAACTGGCTAGCAAGAGAGCGCTTTGACGACGACAAGGAGCTGCGGTTGCGCGTCACTGAGTGGCTGAGATCGCAGGCGGCATAATTCTGTGACGAAGGAATTTCAAAGCTTGTCTACCTCTATGATAAGTGCCTCAATTTGTTTGGTGACCATGTAGAAAAGTAGAATTTTAGTCGCTCTCTCTAATGTATATAATAATTTTTTCTTGTACTTAGTTCCTTTTTAATTCCAAAACGTTTCTTATTTTCTGAATAGCTTACGTACATCCAAACCGAAATCAGATACACTAAAAGCTAGGAAAAATTTTCATGTATAATGAATATAGAAGTCAGCCTTCTATACGGAATTTTAAAGAAAAGGGCGTCTTACACACCGAGAAATGCGGTACTTTTGTTTTGGATTCCGTTCCACTGGTAGATTGAACTGGTTTCACTTCGTCCTCATTTCGGAGGAGGTTAAAATACTCCTTGCTTATATCCTCCTATGCGCTACCATGAAAAATAAAGAGTTTTTTAAGAATCGATAATAGTTAATTATGAAGATTAAATTAGATGCAAAGATTCAAACTTAACAACATTTATTTCACCTGCACTTCCAGACGACACACTCCTTGAACGTTCGGCAACTGACTGCCCTTGCTGTACGAGAATCTTAGAATTTGTACACTGTGATTACGTGCTGCCATCTCTCGGCTGTTCTGGGGTTAAATTGGTAGGTTGCTTTTCCAAATAGAATAAACCACTACAGAGTAAACAAACTTATTGCTTGAAACACGCAGAAGTCAAAAAGGAATTTCTGCGCAATTGGTCAGATTTAAATATTCCTGAGTAACTGGATTCTTATGTGAAGTCGGATGATACATTATCATACAAATAAACAATTGCTGATGTATAGTCAGCGATAAGGATTTACTCGTTTTCCTCTCTATACTGATAACATTACAGAAAATTCTGACCTTGATGTAAGTAGAAATGGCTTCTAAAGGCAAAGTAGGAATTGTTGGAAGGTATATATTTAATTTTTCCTTTAATTTTAATAATTCATATTGCCCTTATTTGCAAATGTATGTTAACTGAATTAGAAATAATAATAATAATAATAATAATAATAATAATCTTTATTTATATTCACATGTGTATGTATAGTTGCGATGGGTTGGGTGTATCATCTCTGTTGTAAATATTTCAGTACAAAATTATGCTTTGCATATATATAAAATTACATTTTTCAAACTAATATGCATATTATCAATTATGTTAAACTGTATACTTTAAACCATGGTATGAGAGAAATAGTTAATAGGTAAACTTTCCTCAAGAACTGGAATTATTTTGAGTGAACAGGCCCTGAGATTTGAAGGGAAAATATTAAACTTATTTGCAGAGAGCAATTAACAAGTATTATGAGAATTTTTCGTGTTGTATCTTTTTATAAAGGTTCATTCCCTGTAGACTGATACTTACATGAGCAACATACTATGTATGTTGCCTAGAAAAAGCAACTTATTATACTGATGTGTTAATTCAAAAGTTATCCAAGGTAATGGTTTGTTTTCAGTAAAAAGTTTTTAAAATGCATTTTTTCAGTGCAAGTGAATTTTTGTATAATAGATTTTATTAGTTTAGTAAATAAATGTACATTAAAAAGTGCATTTTGAAATAAATATCAAAAGAAATATGGAAATAAGTCCTGTTTGTTGAACTAGGTGATTTGTTAACTTATTTAATCTTCCCATCCCCACTTTTTTTGGCATTTCTTTCATATAAAAATTAGTTCTAATGTTTTTACTTGATTCTTTGAATTCTTGATTCTCTGTTCTTTCCTTAAATTCTTTTTTTTTTTTATTAGCCTCAGGGATATATTAGATATATATGGTGCTGTATGATTGTATTTATTGTATTAAAATTTCTGTAATTCAAAATATAAGGTATGAGCTGTATGATACAATGAATTAATTAACCAAGCTTTTATAATATTTAATTAAAAATTAAAGAATATAAATTAAATTAATATTCAACATCAAGAAGTCTGACTTAAAAATGTATTAGTATTCACACTTTTTTTCCTTCTTAGTAATAAGGTAATAATAAATGTTCTTAATGCACAGTTATAATTTTTCTACTAATGAACAAACAACAATAATCATAACAAACTTTATGCAGTATCTGCATAAAGTACTTATTACATTTTGTGTCTGATCTCCCATGCTTATCTACATCATTCATAGCTCTCAGTCTATATTAACATTAAAAAATATTTAGACTGCATTACTTTGTTTGGATTATTATATAAAATTCAAATTCCTATTCCCTTTTTTGTAGAACTTATGAGAGCCAAATTGCTAGATTTTTTAGCAAGTTAATGCACACAACAAGATTAGAAATTGTGATGACTGACAACAGATTATTTATTTGCTTACAACAAATTAGAGGGTACCATATTTTTTTAATTTATTTATTTTATTTGCAGTTTCCTCCATGTCAAAAGTAACTGTAATCAAATTTTGTTTAGAAACTTCGCTGCAGATGTATCTATGTAAAAAAAAAAAAAAAAAAATTGCAGAGTGCCTTAATAAATTTTCTATATTACTATCTGGAAAAAGAGTTTGAGTACTATTATATATTTTTTAATTAGACTTACTGATATATTATTCAGATGTTGAACTAATTGTATATTCTTTGGTTTTGATTAAATAGTATAAAAATTATGTATATTCTTTGGTTTTGATTAAATATTATAAAAAATTGGTTAATTAAGCTTTTATACTTTATCACATTTTGTTACTGTAGAATTTTTTAGTAAAATTCAAAATTAATGTTTGCATTTGGTACATGCTGTATGCTTTCTTTTAATTAAACTAAAAGAAATTCATAAGAGGAACTCAGATTGTATTAGAATGTGCAGAATATAAATTACAGATTTGAACATTATCATTTCCCATCATGGTCATACTATAACTTCCAAAAGAAAATAAAAGGCAATGTAACAAAGTAAAGTACCAAAAGTAATAAAGGTTTGCAGTACCCTGTGCAAGAGACAGTGTATATCTTAAAATGGATATGAGTGGATTACATGAAGGTCATTATAAAATAGTTCGGCTAATCTTTTTAAAATATTACTATTCCAAAAATAGATTAAGCATTTTTGGAAAAATTGTTGATTATTAATAATAATTCACACAACATTTTTAGTATGTTTTTATTTTAATGTTTTGCATTATTTATATCGTAGTGGCTTCATTGGAAGAGGATGGGCAATGCTGTTTGCCAGTGTAGGATACAATGTGGGCATATATGATGTTGATCCTTCCAAGATAGATGATGCTCTTGTTGATATCAAACAACAGTTGGAAAAATTAGAAAAGACTGGTTATTTACATGGGAGACTGACAGCTGATGAACAGTATAATCTTATTTCAAAATGCAATAATCTTTCTGACTGTGTTTCTGAATCTATCCATGTGCAAGTATGAAAATATATTTAAAGTAGATTTAAAATGTTATTGGTTTAATATCTGAAATATATTAGTTCAGCTGTGATAATTGCTAATATGCTGTATTTCTCTTTTATGTAAGCAACTGCTTTATTTATTAGCCAGTTGATTTGTAAAACTATTGATATTGAGAGCATATCAGTATAAACTACCACAGTGTATATACTCATATTGCAGATGTATGTATGTATGAATATTAAATGCAATATAGTGTTCAGACATTGTTTAAAAACTGCAGAACTAAATCTGTACTTAAGAGAATCATGGCAATGGAAAAATCTAAAATTAATTTTTTATAAATTCTTATTTAAAGTCTATGCCAGTTTAAGAGGCAGGGTTTCACACATACAATGAAAATTCATGGTGACCACTTTCTATTGACCATCATTTTCTAAAAGTATTTCTTAAAACATAAACAAACATTGCTATTGAATACCATCTGTCTCAGATGACCACCAGCAGAAAAGATAAAAATGATTTGGAATTGCAGGTGATCCTCTGAAGGAGGTTTCGTTTATATATGTGTGTTTGTGCTAAATATAATAGAATTTGATAATTTTTCATTCTGACATTTAGAGTAAAAAGATTGTGCAGCCCAGATAAATAAAAATAAAAAACATGGAGGGTCAAAAATAAAAATAAAAATAAAAATAAAAATGCAAAAAAAGTTCCATAAAAGCAAAAAAAGGGTACTTTTCCATTATGCTTCTGTCATACCTTTTGGCCCATGTGAAAGATCTGGGAGCTGTGTGTGCAAACAAAGATAATTAAACTTGTTCCCTCAAAATGCATGGCAAGCACATAATGGAAAATAACTAATTTTTTTTTTTTTTTTTTTTTTTTTTTTTTTTTTTTTGTAACCCATGATTAAATATCTAAAGTAATTGCTCAGTGAAAAGTTGAATTTTATAAATCTGCAGCAATTAAAGTTAATCAAATTGGAAGAAAAACATGCTAAAGTAAAAAGGAAAATTAGGCATAAATGTAACCATAGTCTGGCACAGATTTTTAAATAAAAGAGATGTTATTCAAAATCTACACCAAACTGTTATTGCTCTTTTGCTTGATTTTAAAGGGGAGCTAAATTTAAACTGAACCTACCTCTCTAGTAGCACCAGAATGATTGGATATTAGAAACCATTATTTCTTTAAATCTAATCCATATCATTTGGATTAAAATTTGGGGAAAAGCAACCTTATATGTAGTGTAGATGTAAGTTTTAATCAAATTTCTATGAATTTCGAGAGCAAACAGGCACTGCTGTTTTTCATATATCTTGCTTTGACATTTTTCTCTTCCCTCTTCATTGGGATTAAGGTTAATGCATGGAAAAAAAGCATATTTTTACATTATAAAATAGGAAAGTTCTGCCAATTCAGAAAGAATGCTGACCACTCTAGGATTTTACCAGACACTAACTTTCTTAATACATGACTTGGTGAAACATGAAAGTAAAAATAAAGATGGATTTTATCAGACACACTAACTTTCTTGATACATGACTTAGGGAAGCATGAAGGTAAAAATGAAGATGAGATAAATAGCTAAGTTAGTCATTGAATATTTAAACAATCTTTATAACTCTATGAATGAACAGGTTAATTGTTGAATAGCTACAAGCTTTGGGGAGTATTTAGCTGACTGTCTGAAATAATGTTAACTTGACTTCCTTTATCTTATTTTTAAAAAAGGGGGAGAAGAAAAATTAAATTTTTTTAAGAGGAAAATGGATAATTTATATAATTTTATTATTTTAATTATCATTTTTAATTGGATGTTGTATATTATTCATTTAAAACTTTTGAAAAATTTATTGTGTGAAGTACCTGTGTTCTGATCGAGTTTTACAGGTGTCTTTTGGAATACCCATGTTTTCCAATTACATGTACATTTTTTACTTGTGTATTATACCACAAATAGTCATGTGTACATTTAACCTTTAACTAGAATACCCAGTAGTACTTGAATATACTAGACATTCACTGGTATAATCAGTTCTGATGTCAAAAAGGTTGGATAAAAAAATGGTCGAAAAGGAGTTACAGATCTAAAATATTAAATAAGTGTAGAAGATAGTTGTTAAGATTTAGATTTCTTCTTAAGTGAGATAATGATGATTTCTCAGATAACTAATGCAGGTTCCTCATAATATATACATAGCCAACTTTTTTAGAATGGTGGTAATGAGAATGTATAAGGATGGGTTAAAAATGTGGGAAAAAAATAAATAAAACAAGCAGTGAATAATTTTTGTGGAGATAGAAATGTGTGATTCATCAGGGCAAGTATAATCGCAGAGGATTATAAAAGCACATGTGTGCCAATCTCTTAAATAATCAACCAAGGTAATTGGAATAGTATATGTAATATCTGGTGATACAGTTTCCTATACTTTCTCATAAATTATATTTTGCAAAATTCCACTCAGATGCACTTTAAATCACAATTTATTTACAGTGAGCCCAAGATTACTAAAACGGGAACCAAAGTAATCTGATAACATCCACTTTCAATTATTTGTAAATGAACAGGCCAGAATATGCTAACAATGCTTAAGACAAAGGATCTTATTTACCTAGTTTCAACTATTTATCCTGGTAAATGTAATATTAAGATTTGATTTATCATGTGATTTCTGCATTAGAAGTTAATGTCCTGGCACTTTACCATATTGCATTGTAATACTTTAATCTCAAATGAGCATTTTCTTAACAATAAAATAGTATGCAATGGAACTGAAAATTAAAAAAAATATGTTGTATGGTGAAATTTTATGTTTCAGTGAAAGGTCTAGAAGGAAAAAAAAAAAATTGTAATAGTTTTTTACTCTTCCACCTGTAACAAGAATGCTAGCAAATTTCCCTCAAAATATCTTCCATGAAAGCATGCCATAACCAACCAAAGTAGTCACTAAGTAACTAAAATTTTAAAATGCTCACATGCTTTTTGTGTTTGGCAATCACGAATTGAAAATTTTTATAAAGTCTTTTTCAAGAGGAAATTGTATTGAACATTTAAAAATATTGTGGTTAGGCATTTGGTTGATCACCTAGATTAATCTGTATTTCATATCAAAATATCTAAATGGTGTAATATCTGAAGCAGGTTTTCTTGAAAAGGCCATAATTCCTTAAACAACAACAACTTCAAGGTTACCTCAAAACTCACTGTTGATAAAGCATTTTCACTCTTACGTGGGTATCATTTTCTTTGATAAAAAAGCTTACTTCCATTAAAATGCCATAAGGTTAAAAATGCTGTGCAGAAGTTTCAGGCTCATGAAAATAACTTTTGACTACTAAAATGCTTTCCACAATTCCCAAGTTATTTCAACAGAATACCTCATTTTGGGACTATTTCAATTGATGGATGAATCTCATCAATTTGAATAGTACTTAATATCTAAAGAATGATTTCCAGACTGCATTTCTTGTATACTTCTTTTATGAAGGTCACTAGTGGGTCAACAGATATTAAGTGGGTGTTCATAGTAATTTACCATTTCGAGGTATCTGTTGGATTCATTGTTGATTTACAAAAATTTTAGTTGATATATTTTCAAGCTGTTTTGTTACTTCATTACAATTTTTAAGTTTTACTTAACTTATATGCTATATTTGTATGTCAACAGGAGTGTGTATTTGAGAATATTGACTTAAAAAGAAAAGTTTTCAAAGATTTAGATGAGGTTGCTTCAGATAAGGTAGTGTTATGCAGCTCAACAAGCTGCTTTCCAGCATCATCTTTTTCAGAAGATCTTGTGCATCGAGCTCAAGTTATTGTAGGACATCCTGTATGTATTAAATTTCATTTTATTATGTGTTTAATTATGTAAAAATGTTTGATTAAACTTTAAAAAAAATTTCCCCCCTTTTATTATGGTATGTATAATAAAATGCCTTGTAAATGCCCCAAAGCCATCTGAAGAATGTTTTGCAAAATTTTATTTTTCATTCCAATAATGCACGAATAATATTTTTTAAGGGAGACCTTTTAGTATGTTTTAAAATTGTATTTGTAAGTTTTCATTTATATTTGTAAGATATTTTTTTTAAATACTTCCTATTCTGAATATAACAATTTTAATAATTTTTTAAATTATTCTTTTGGAAGAATGTAAAATATATTAGTTATATTAAATATAATAGTTCACATTATAATACATATACAAGTAATTCACATTCTTTTGGGCAGAGATTTGGCAAATTCTACTAAAGTGGTTATGATAACATGTTAAGTACAAAAAAGTATGTGCGCAAAATCACAGACAATAATTAATTATGGCCAGATTCGTGAACTCTATCTATTTTTGGATAAACTGTTTTCATGAAATACTTTTAAAAGATGGAGAAAAATAAGTCTTGCATAATTGTCTATAAATTGTCGTTGACTGGCTACAGCTTTGAAGTTCTGGTACTCATTTCAAAATTAATCCGTGGTTACTGAATAGGGTAGCTGTGTGATTTTTTCCCTTAAGCAATGTAAATTCACACCAGTTTCGAACAAAAAGTCCTGCATAAAGATATTTATGTATAGGCAGATATTGGTTCAAGTGCTTAACTCTAACTAGTTGAATAAGATCTAATTTAAGTTAACTACTTTAAGCTGTGTTTTTCTTTTTTGTATTTTAACAAGTACTTTAAGAAACATTTCATGCTTTCGGTAAGTTTGATGGTATGTAATTTAATTATTATGTGAAATTCTTGGGAAAGCCTCATTATAGTGTTTTTTAAAGAGACAGCCAGCTTTAGAGTAGGCAGTATATTTTTTTGCAATAAAATGTTGCTATGAATTTCTATCTTTCAGGTTTCAGCTTTCATTTTTTAATTGTAAATAAGCCTTTTAAAATGTAAATCTCATTTGAGTTGATGTCTCATTTGAGTTGGTGATCTCAAAAGGTAAACTTTTATGCATTAAGAAACTTGTGTGTTAAAAATTTTCTTAAATCTTATTAGACTCTCTAGGTTCTGTAATAAAAAACTGAGTGCATTAATATTGACTGGCAGAATGTTTCTAATAGAAAGAATTGAACAAACTGTGAGCACAAGCATTCACATTTGAATATCCAATTATTTAATTATCATTAGAATCACAAAATGAGTTCTTAAATTGTTGTTGAACTAGTTTTCCCTCTCTCCTGAATGGGAGGCAGCATAGATGGAGGAGGCTTTGACCTTGCTGTACCTGTGTTAGATCATGCTTCAAGTTTTTCTTCAAGTTTGTAATTTGTCATGATAAAAATAAGTTAACAAGTGGTTGGTTACAAGACTTTGAGAATTATCTTCAAGTGCCATCATTCCTCAGTAAAGGAGCTTTATTTATCATGAGAATGAATATGTTCCCCAGAGAGCCTTGTTTTGCCATTTTTGACTTTACCTGATGCTGATGTACTTCCAGCTTGTGCCTAAAGTATAAAATACTCTTTTCCTGTGTGAAAAATGACCAACTTTCTTTCAGTGGAATGATTTTTCTCAACTAATTTTCCTCATTCAAGTTTTTGTAAATGCAGTTTTTAGATGGCTGAAAATAGATATCTGCATGGCCTCATATCTTCAGTACAGTACTTAATTGTGCTCGAACTCACAAGGACTGTTAAGCTAGTGATGATATTTGTATTTTCTCTTTAGCAATCCTTTACATATCAATCAGTTCTAAATCTAGTACTAAATAAATAATCACATGTGAAACATAATTTTGTTTCTAATTGGCACTATGGTATAGAGTAAGTACAGCTATTATTTTATGTTCTAGCTGTAGGTTAAGAAAGATTAATTTATCATTCCTTAAATTTTTAGTTTTTTCATTCTTGCAGTGCATTGTAATGGTTTCTATCTAAGTAATATTTGTTCATTAGGCACATACACATTTTACAACATCCACCCATTTATAAGTTTTGCTACCATTTTTCTTAACACAAACAAAACTGTAAGCATAATGTCATGAATAAACAAATATTTAATAATTTAAAAAAGTAACATAAAATGAGCATTCAGACATATTTTAAATGAATTAAATTCTGTATATGTTTGCAAATACTTACATTTTCATAAAAGTATGATATATCTTCTTAATATCTTCTTAGGTTAATCCTCCATATTATGTTCCATTAGTCGAAATAGTTCCTGCACCTTGGACTGATCCATCTATTGTAACTAGAACAAAGGATTTGATGACAGAAATTGGACAAAAACCAGTTATATTAAAAAAAGAAGTGCCTGGTTTTGCTTTAAATCGCATACAATATGCTCTAATTAATGAATGCTGGCGTATAGTTCAAGTAAGTTGCTTAAAAATGTGCATCTGTATCACTGTACTTTAATTTTTTATATAACCTGTCAGATATGCAATTTAGTATGGACCTTGTGATGCTGTTCTTTTTCTTTCTTTCTTTTTAATCTTTTTATCAATCCTGTGTAAAGTTTTTATTGTGAAAACTCAAAATAGACTGGGCACTGAAATTCTTTCTGCTTTCTACATTTAAAATATATCAAACTCTGATTATTGTAAAATTTTTAATAAGATTTCTACAGAAAAATATGTAATACTTATATTTTCATGAAAGAATTTCAAATTTGTTCTTTCATAAAGAAATAAATTTTCTGAAACTTTTGACATTTCAAATGAGATTACATATGCAAACAACTCTCCTAATATTTGCCCTTAATATTGCAATTATCAGTCTTAATGAATTTAGTCGAGATTGTTTTTCTGCCTAATTTTAAATCTCTAAAAAACATCTTCCCCCAAGATGTTAATATTCTTAACTCTGAAAGTGATTTTTATTTTTCTGTTGCAGTTAATAAACTTCAGATATGTTTATGTTTACACTGTGAAATATAATGGGATAGATATTTTGTCTCTAGATCTGCTTTACTATACTATAAAGAGATCTTTTAAAATCATCTCCACTTATAAAAGCCATGATTTATTTCATGTTTCTCAGTTAATATACTGTTTAACAGCTGTTTGGGAAAATGTTTTATTTATGCATATTTTATTTTCTTTCATTATTAGGAAATGTATTTTTTAAGAATAAAAATTACTATTCTAAGTGGTCAGCCATATATAAATAGAGCAGTCAATCTGAGTGCTTTTATAGTTTTAGGTATGGCTAGCTCTAAACTCAAACCTAAACTGATTTTTGTTGTTTGATTTCTAAATTAATACTATATTTCTGTTTGAAATTTTACATGATGAATAATAGCATAGGTAGTTTTAGTTAAAGTTGTGCAATTTCATTCTCAAAAATTAAATGATTTGGCAGTTACAAAAATAAAATTTACATCAACAGTCAATTTAAGCACTGCTGCACTTCTAGTATTGAGAGAAATAGAGCAAAAATTAAACAAATTAATACTCAAAAATAATACTCAAAATGTACTGAATGAAGTAGTAGGTTGTGCATAATCTGTATCTAAGTATACAAAGTAAAAATGAAAATTTTGTAATAATTTTTATATAAAAATAAAGAAATAAAGCTTTAAAATTTAGACAGGCTAAAAGTAACTCTCATAGGTATATCCATAAAGTAAGACAATGTGTTAATATAGTGTCTTTTATTTACAATCACCTCATACGAATGCTTTTGGAGACTGAACTATATTTGCCAAATAAGTAATATTTCATTATTGTACTCTATCTGGTACTCGTTAGGATCCATGATGCCTTCTTTATTAGGATTAGGTCAGGAATTTTGATTGGTTATTTGAATATGGCAAAGCACACGAGGACTGTCTGCTTGAGACAGACCAATGTAAACCAATTCTGCTGTGTAAGTTGTCATTTTCTCAAATTGGTACTGTGTAGCAGAGATGTTACTTTGTTCAAATTTCCACCTTAACTTTTGAAGAAACTCGTGAATTGATAACGTTTTTAACAGTTAATAAAATTCTTTTTGCTACCATCTAGCCAGATCTTTTTTTAATACATTGTTACGTATTATTTTAAGTATTATGTATTTTTAAGTAATACATTATGTATTCTTATGTATTTTTTAAGTAATACATTGTTATGTATTAGTTGCAAGAATTGACAGAGAAGTTTGATGATTAAAGCTAAATGCTTCTTGAACCTATTGATGATTTAAAACCTTATTGTGTACTGTAAAACATTTTTGCTTCTTTCATAAGGCCATTTTAAAAATTTGTTCAATGTCTTCATAATCTAAATCCCATTTTTTTCTGTCACAAAGTATAATTATTTATTGACATTGCTTTATTTAATCTTCTAATGGCAAAGCACACAAAGGATATATGCCTAAGTGAAGAATGCCTGTGTAAGAAGCTTTCTGAAAGAAATTGGCATCTGTTTACCTTAAGGGGAAAACTAAGAAATCATCACTTATTCAATCGCTAAGATTCAAACATGGGTTGAACTGCCATTGTATAGCAATCTTATCCACTCAATGACTAATTATTATCATTGGATACATACTTGCATACTTTAATTGCTTGTTTTTATGCTGCACTTTCAGAATGATTTGTAAATCAGATTTTTTAGAATGATACAGCTACGTTTCCTTTGTGAAACACCATTAATTACTATTATTGTCAGCACACCTCTTGATTTTGCACAGGTACTTTTTTTATTGACTGATTATGGTTTATAAGACATTTTATTGCTTAAATACGCTCTTTCCACATCTTGATTTTATTTTAATATTTCTATCACAAGTTAGTATATAGAAAATGCAACATTTTGATTGTCCTAGAGACATAGTAATTTCAGCAATGGTCCTATTTTCTAATCTCATCTCGATTCTCATGAGATCTTCCCTATAAATTATGCTAAATGTGACATTTTAACTTGTTGGTCGAAAACAATAGCCGTTGATTTTTTTACTACTCTAATGATGCACATTTTCTCTTAACCATTGTATAAATTTCACATTTGCATAAAAATTGCAAGTTTACTTAAACTTTTGGCATACTAATTTTTCTGTATTTTTTAAATAAATGCTTTTTTGCAAATTTCAGAAGATGAGGGAAATTGATTTGATTCAGAAAAACTGGGGTCATATTTTATGTACTTCATTATTTCTCAATTAAATTTTATGTTTTCCCTTTTCTTCTAATGCATAATCTTTTGAAACTGATTGTATTTGTTGTAAAATTAAATGCTGGAGCTGATTTTTTATATTTTCTGATTAATTTTTTTTTTAAAGGATGACATTATGTCCTTAGAAGATGTTGACACTTCGATGTGTGAAGGCTTAGGATTAAGATATGCTTTTATTGGACCACTAGAAACGTGTCATCTAAATGCTGACGGTATAATATTTGATAACATTTTTCCATTGGTTTTCAGATTTTTATCTTGTATTTGTGAGTAACTTCTGATTATCTGCACATGCACCAAAAAGTCGTAAATTCATTGTAAGTAATTTTTCACCAAACTAATGTATAAAAGGTGACAACCATTTTAAAAATTGGTGGTGCAGTAAGAATTCTGTACAACAGTAATCAGTAAAATTAAAAAAACAAGAAACATCAGTAATAAAACTCTTTCCTTTTTTGAGAAATCCATCTTTTCTGTACTGTTGTTCTCCCCATGTATGCTGCAATCATTTTCAGTTAAAAAAAAAAAAAGAAAGGGAGAATTGCACAAATTCAGCATTCTGTGAAACTTTGCTATTTCACCCTACCAAAACAGGCATGTGTACTTGGGTTTCCATGTAAATTTAGACAACATACTGCTTTCCTTCTTAAATATTTTGTTAATTTTGTACAAAGACTGGAAACAAAATTTTAACTTAAAATATTTTTTTCATATTACATAAATACGAAAGATGGTAAAGTTTCAGTGAGTTGCTATTTATACTATTTAGCCTTGCATAAAAATTGCAAAACTTAGAAAAAAATCAACAAAATGGACATTTAAGAAAATGAATACTACAGTAGAATTCCTTTAATCCATAAATCTCAAGACCAAGGATTGTGCAGATTAGTGACTTTTGGGGATTGCTAGTCATGTTTCTCTGCATATTTATTGTTTATATTTTTGTTTTTCTAATTTTAGCATTATCTGCACATAAATACACTTATGTACAAAATTAAGAGAATCTGCACATTATGCTGAATTTCTGGAAACCTAATAGAGATAATTTATTGATGTTTGGTATGAATATACATCATAGATGGGAAAGGCTGCTGATCTAAACAAATTTGGTAGAAAGCAGGTTGTAATGGCCAAAACTCAGAATGAGTATCCAAAACTGCACAACTGGTACTTTATTCACAATATTCCATTGCTAGTATTTATGCAGAGTGGATAAATGATGGTGAAACCAGCAGTAAATGTGAAGGTGTTGGATGTACATGCATCATCAAAAAAAGGATGTTTGTGACTGTCCCGCTTGGTACAGCAAAATCGGTGCCAGGCAGTGGCTTAGCTGATAGCCCAATGCAGTATAGATCCAAGTGTAAGTGCTTCAGAACACACAGTTCAGCAGACACTGTTGGAATATGGGACTGTGCAGAAGATATACCACTCATGTGCCTCTGTTGACCAAGCATCAAATATGCCCTCAGTGGTTCTGGGAGTATTGAGACTGGACCATGAATAAATGGAAAACAGTGGCCTGGTTAGATGAATCATTATTTCTCATTCATCACGTCGATGGTCTTGTCGGAGTACCCCATCTTCCAAAAGAACAGTTGCTCCCCCCCCCATTTTATTAGCTACTTTGAACATAGGATATCCCAGTTTAGTAGGAAAAATTCCACACATCTGACTTGTTTTCACGATTTAGTTTGATTTTATCATATCCTGTGTCTTGAATAAGCAACCAAGAACTAGTAGTTATGGTCTAAGTATCATCTAATATATGTATTTGACTTGTAGGTATTGTGCATGTAGCAACCTAGGCAGATGTGCATAAAGTAACTGTACTTTGAAATAGCTGTTTCGACTGCAGTAACCAAATACAACCTAATATAGAAGCCATTTAATATAAACTAGCTTAACCATCTGTAAAAGTAATTATTTATTTATTTTTGTTTTCAATCGTGTTGATTTACACCTATAATAATGTTATTTAATTTCTAGGCTTGTTAGATTATTGCAAGCGGTATGGAGAAGGCATTTATAAGGTTTCCCAGACATTTGGTCCTAATCCAAAAATGAAAGGAGAAGTAGCAGAACGTATCCATGAGATGATATGCAAACTATCTCCACTAGAAAAATTAGCTGAACGTCGCAAATGGAGAGATGCTCGGCTTACTGCATTGGCTAAAATGAAAAGAATTTTGGATGAACAAGATGCTTCATAGCAAAGATAAAAATTAGGCCGTTTATTTACTTGCAATTTATGAAGATCATCTACATTTTATATGTTAAATGTATTGATTTTCAGGTTACAATAAAAGGAAATATATTTTGCATAAATCTGATTCTTTTTAATTCATTGTTTAGAAGCCTTAATGTTAGTATATGTGTGTGTGTGTGTGTGTGTGTGTGTGTGTGTGTGTGTGTGTGCATGCATGTATTAGTTATCCAAAATAAATTTATAAGCACTTTTCATATTTAAGTGTAAATAAGGTTATGTAAGTATCTTTGTGTTATGCATCCTATGCTGTGCTGATCCTATTATTAACTTAATGCTTTTATAGAAAATGCCTAATGTCCGTAGAATGTGCATTTATAGAGACATTTTTTAAGGTAATGGGTAGAAATGATCTAGGACTGAAATATCTGAGAAACAAATTTCTTAACATAAGGTGTAAAATCAAAGATGATATTTTTGTGGGTTCAGTAATTGGGAAGTTGTGCTTAGATCAGAAATTTTTCTAAAGAAATGCAGAGCAGAAAACTGTTAAAAAAATAGTGAATAATCTTTTGAAGTCATCTAAAATTGCAGAAAACTCTGTCTTTTTTTTAGTTTTGTAATTTAATACCTTTCATGATAAGTACATGGCCTTATTATCTAACTGCAACTGATAGGTGACCATGTCTTCCCTAAGACCAACCGTTATTACAATTAAAAATGATTATTGTGCAGTGACTTATTATTAAATTAATTGTTGTAATTAGTACAATTAATGTGACTGTTGTGCAGGGAAGACTGGAAATCATGGATTTGTACCTCTTTAAACATCAAAGCCAGAGAAGCATAGTTGAAGTGAGGTCAACCACACATAAATTGGAAAAGCACCTGAATAATCCAATACATTATTGATGTATTAATGAAGCTTTGTGGCAGAATTCATCGATAATTGTGTGAGATTCTGGAGAAAAGGAATGATAATCATTGAACATCATAATTTCAATGCAAGTAGTGTAATGATGTGGGCTGGATTTTTTCTACGCTATCACACCAACTTATATGTCTTCACAAGACATACAGATGAAGTCCTTTACCCCATTGTAAAATTGTATGCTCAGCTGTTGTTTCACACTTATTCATATGAAAGATCATGTATATCCACATGAAGCAAATGTAATGGATCTTAGCAGTGACCAAAGTATTCACCTTATCTCAGCCCCACTGAAAATATTTGGAATGCCCATGGGATGTGCTATCCTTGCTCATATATCCCTACTCTGAAATCATCTCTGAATCTACATCAACTGCTCTGAAAAAGAGAGGAATTAGGAAGGCAATTATTGTCATCTGTTATAACTTGACTACTTTTTGAAAGTATAAGTCATCTTGTATGAAGTGAAGATAGCTCATCTAGGAGGAACTTGCATAAAAGTCTCAAATACTTATGTCCCTTATTAAGGAAAGTTTTATTTGTCTGCACAGCTTGGAAAGAAAAAAAAATTGAACTTTGATATATATATGTAAATGATTACAAATAAACCGAAATATATTTTGTTTATAAGGTATTTCTTCTGCCTTCTTAATGAGCCTTCGTGGTATAGTAGTCTGCACACTCAGCGCATAATTGAGATGTCCGTGGTTCGATTCCCAGTGAAGGCGTTGCATATTTTTCAAATCTTAAGCTTCCAAAAAAAAATCCTAATGTCTCTGCAAGTGGCACCCGAACTAAAAGGGTGTTCAATGCTGATTCTCCTCACCCATGATTTGGCGATTGGGTTCCCTAAAAACCCCAGTCGCCCTTTAAAAGGGGGAGTATATAAAGTATTTCTCCCACCTTCTTAATGAGCCTTTGTGGTGTAGTGGTCTGCATGATCAGCGCGTAATTGAGAGATCCGCGGTTCAATTCCTGGCAAAGGTGTTGCATATTTTTCATCTCTCTGGCTTCCCGAAAAATCCTAATGTCTGTACATGTTTACCATAATTTTTTATTATGAATGTGTAACTAAATTACCTATCTTCATGTGAAATTGAAGCATAACCTTTACAGTTGAATTACTGTTGAATTAATTGAAATTACTGCTGTTACAAAATATATTTACAGCTGAATTAATTGAAATTACTGTTGCATGCATAATTTTATAAAGCAGTGTGTACCTTCAGTGAATCAAAAATAAATTAATTGTTTTGAATGATTTGTAGAACTCTTACTTTAAAGAGTAGCAGTAATAAACTCTTTCTTCAATCCTACATTATATTCAAAATTAAACCAATGTCTGAAGAATAAATATGTTTTCATTTGTTATGAATCAACAAAATTGATATCTTAACAAATAGTGAGAAATAGTGTGCAAATCCACTGCAAGATATGTTGAAGTGCCAGGAAAGCCATAAGTTATCATTATTTATGATCAAAATAAGATATACAAAATAATGAACAAGACATTTCTGTCAAGCATAGTGGTCTGTAAATAAGATTTGCTTATGGGTTGCATTTAAGAGCAATAAGAGATTGAAGAAAATTCAGGAGAGATGTTTCTAGCATATGGAAAGAGTAATAACAGTATGCAATAAAATAATACCAGTGTCATTTAAAGCAGGGTTTCTTAACTGGGAGTCGCCAAACATTGTAGCAGTTTTGACATTTTTTATTATAATAATTTTACAATTACCAAGTTATTTTTACACAATGTATCTGAAGATGGATAAAGATAAGACAATACAGACAAAGAAAACACCAAAAACGCCTTGACGCATTCTTTTTATAATATAAACGTTCATTTTCCTTGCTTTGCATGTGACGCTGTCATTTCGTCTGTTATTTATTTAAAATTTTCACATTGTTCTATGTCTTAAAATTTGAAATTAAAGTTAATGACCTAAAACTGCAATAGTATATTACAGTAACAAGTGGAAAAAATTGACTGTTTCACTCACGCGTGTATCGGATTTGCGCAATACTTACAGGGTCGCACAAAATTTTTTTTAATATTATGGGGTCGTGAAAAACTCTCAGTGATAAAAAGGGGTGGCGACTGAAAAAAGGTTTAAGAAACCCTGATTTAAAGGAAGTAGTGAGACATTTACATTACAAACATTCATTTTATGCATCATGCATACTGCAGTTGACATATTTAAAAGATGCAAAGCACGAGGCCTCACCATACATAATATGCAAGCATTTTATTGTTTTATTCAGAAAGTTCTTATGACCACAGAGGAAATCATTTCAATTTTTCTGTTTTATGGTCATGATGAATCTCCCTGTTCCTGATGAAATAAGGTCATGAGTAAAAACAATGAGGACTGTGTTTTACATTGCCTGCAGCAGTTTGATTTCATAATGGGTAATCCCTCGCAGAAGGAACGTAAGTGGATAAAAGGCTAAAGCTAATATATCACACCAAGAATATAAAAACCAGAACTTTTACAAATGCAAGAAAATTGCTTATAACTATTGCTCTGGTTGATTTAGATGATGAAAGGCTGAATGCCAATAGTGAAATGTAAATGTAAAACTATTGAAAGAATAGTGGTAGAAAATATGCAGTCTGGAACTTTTAAGCTTGTAGGAGCGGGGGAAACATGTCTTTCTTTGAGTAATAAAGCTTGCAGAAAAATTATTCTGCAGAGTGTGAATTTTCTAAATACTGGTAGTTCGACCTGGGTTCAAAAACCTTAAAAAAATGGATTCGCTGCATAAAAATTTTCATGGTTTTACTCATATAAAGTCTTCAAAGAAGGCACTCATCCCCTTATTTGATTACAACGGAATATGCAATAATATTTGTCATGCCCCATGGAGAACTTCGAAGGGAAACTATCTCATATCCATGCTATATGTGGAGAAAACTACGAAAATGCACATGCAGCCAGCCCATTCTCCAAAATAGGACTCGGACGGAACTACCAGCGACTTTGCCTCTCGCCCAGTGGTTCAATCCAATCCTGAATAGTTTGTGTATGGTAATGGCTTAATCACCTAGTAAATGTGCAGGCCAACCAGCGGCTGAGCTGTTAAGTTTTCTAGTACACATATGTTCAATTTCAGGAAAATGGGCTAATTGAATGCCATTTTTATGGGTTCTCCCATGCGTAATATGGATGATCTGATTGACTTTAAAAAGTCCTCTGCAAAGGCATCTTCTCCCTTAAGCAGGCAGACCTCACATGCTATGACGTAATCAAAAAAATCAAATAAAACCTTATAAAGGTGCGTTTTTCTTTTTTCTTTTTTTTCTTTACTGGGAATATTGAGTTTCAGCCCCCGAGACTGGAACAAAGATTCTGAATATTTGGGAATATTCATGTTAACTGGAAGTTTGAAAATATTTTTATATTTATTTACACTCTTTAAATTTATCAGCGGCCAAGCGATAAAGTCTGTGAATACTGGTAGTTCGGCGTGGGTTCGATTCCAGGCAAACAGGCTGGCTGCATGGATGTTTCTGTGGTTTCCTCTATATGTAAGGTGGAGACGAGCCAGTTTCGTTTAGATGGTCCTCCACAAAGGTATCTGTTCCCTTATCCAGATAAACCTAGGATGCTTTTTCATAATCTAATAAACCAAACCTTTAAATTTACTAAAATTTCCATGGTTAAATTTTCCATTTCGAAATGTTTGATATCTATTCCGAATACGAATATATATTTGTCATTATATTATCATTAAAAGGAAAACTGAATTTTCTTTTCTAAACTTGAAATACTTTTTTTTGTTTGTTTGTTGTTGTTGTTAAAGCCAAAAGTATCAGTTGTTCCTAAGGTTGATTATCATCGAAAATTTCGACATTTTTAATCGTTGCTGTGATACAAATTAATCGCCTTTATGTAGCTACAGTCACCGTGTGTCTTTGTAGATAACATTCAGAATATTCAAATCTTGAAGTAAGTAAAAGTGGCTTCCAAAAGGCAAAATATGAGTAATTGGAAGGTATCAAATATTTAATTTTTATATTTTAATGTTTAAATTGAGCTAATTTACAAATATAATGGATTTAGAGAGAGTTCTGTCTTACATTTTACAGTATTTATGTGTGAATTATGAGCAGTAGATATTTCATCACAAAACATGCATTGCATTGAATGATGTATTTTTCTTCAAAAGTTACAGGGAATCTTGCAC